GGACTATTTCATCACAGTTAGACATCTGTCAACACTTGTGTTTCAAGTTCAGCCTTGGCTGGGGTTTTTTCTTATAAAGCTCACTTGTGAGTTCACTTGCTGAAAGTCTAACCTGAGGTCTGAAAGGATCATTGGGGTACGAGCGAGCGTAGTCACAGAGCTAATTGCTTATTCATGGAGAACAGCTGCCTCGTGTTTAGAAATCTGGTTGAAGAATATAAGATTTGGGGTAATGACATCCAGCCGGAGAAGGGGCTGGTTGCAGGTCTGGGTGGGGGCTGAACCTGGCCACGTATTACACAGTAAGACCCCACAGGCTCCTGGAATCAGATCAGAAGAAGGACTCAGCAGGCTCCTGCTGGCCAAGGAGGGGACAATTTGAACTTCAAATAGGGACAGCAGCTACAGTGGACTGGAATGATCACCTAGGCTGAAATCCATGATGTTCAGATGATACTTAGCACACTTTCTTTGGTCACTTTTGGAGGATGTTTATTGTTTTAAAAGCTGCTTAATAAAGAAATCAAACAAAAGCATGACACAGAGGCAAGGTGTTTCTAAAATATGTGGGGGCTGGCCAGGAGGCTGGTGGTGGAGTCCTGGCCCAGCATGTGCGAGACCCTGGGTTCCATCCCCAGCATGGAAAAACAAGAGAATCCCGTGGACACCTGAGAAGGTATTCAGGGCAGCACCGTGAGTCCTGCTACTCCCCAGAATTCTCTGGGGACCTCGAGAAGCCCCAGGAGACTGTGGGAACTGGTAAGAGAGGCTGCACCCTTGACCACTCCCCAAGAAGGTGCAGCCCATCCCAAAGCCCCAAGTCTGTTCCTCTGCTGGCACCTCCGCCCACTCTGATGCTCGCCCACCCACGCCCTCCCTTCTTTCTTGGAGTTCCAGCTCTGACTGCTGCACAGATTACTTGACAGATCTGTGCCTCTGTGACCATCCAAAGGCCAAAGGGATCTGTGGGCTCCCGTCCCACCTGGCTCTCTGTGACAATTCTCATCTGAGTGTCGGGTAATGACTGTTGGCTGTGGCAGCCGGAATCATCTGAAATGGCACAGAAGACAGGAGGGATGTCCTGTGAGAAAGATCCAGAGAAGGGAATGTGCAAGCCAGTCTCCCTAGAGGGTGAGAAGTTCACTTCTGGAAGGAAGGCTGGGAGACGAATCGCAGGACGGATGA